CAGTGATTAACATTTTTGCCGGAACCTATTGCTGTAATACATAGCACATAGCTATACGATGCAAAGAGAAGCCAGCAACTGCACTCATGTCCTTTCAAATAACCTGTCTCGCTGGAACCGCGCGCCGCAATTTCCGGTCAAATGGGCGTATATTTGGACCCAGTAGAAGCTAGAGACGGGCTCGATGGGGTGTATGGTCATTGAAGGGAAGATACACTTGATCGTACGTATAGGCTTTGCGAAGTTTTGCTTAGCGATTGGGTTTTAGGAGCGAAGAATTGAGACCTTGCATGTGAAGCGACATTAGAGTAAAACTTAGTTCTGCAAAGTGTCTCTCAGCCTCGGATAGCGGTTGACACTGCCGAGGCGTATTCAGTTATCGCGGACTGCGACTGATCTAGTGATTTAGGTACATCGATGATTATCATACTGTAGATGGCAGCCGGCTGACTTGCGTCGAGCTTTTATTTTAATCACCTGAGTGTATTCAACCGTCTGGCTTTGAAACATGATCAGTGCTTTGTGTACATTTTGAATGACTCTTCTGACCTTGGAGACGCTCATACCATGGATTTCACTTAAATACCACTGTGAGCTGTATTTGCTTACACGAAATCGTCAACACTCCATGAGTACCAAAGAGAAGCTCAAAACTTTGGATTATCCAAGCAAATTTTGTCGCTCGTGTGCACCAGCACGATGAGAAATTTGTCGTCATGATACTGGATTCAAACCAGTAATATCCTATCTTAAATGGAATAAGCGTCCATGGTATCCAGACTCTACGTGGGAGACTAACCTGGATGATGTACGATAGTAGAATCTAATCATGACGTTGTTTATAGTATCGCCTGCACTTTCGCAATTGAAGACTTGGCGCGTACACAGCTCATCAATTTGTAAAACCCAAGCTAAAATTCAATATTTCACCCTTCTCAAGATTGTATCCACCGTATGCGTCATCTTTTCCAGTTATAGTGATCTCTCTCACCTCCATCCCAAAGGTCTGCGCACCTTAATTTATCTTCTCCGGTGGGTATTCATATACACTTGCGCGTGTATGTGGCGGCTGATGGGAGCCAGATACTGATTTGATGAGGCTTTGATGGAAATCAGTCTATTTAGGAGTGAAATTTTGATGCAGAAGTCTTGAATCATTATCCCGTGGACCAAATTGTTCAGTAGGACGAAATTTGACTGAGCTGGGCTCTGGGGGAATATTTTTGTCCCAGGATTGTTGAAGACACGGCGGACGAGGGCTTGTTCCACCTTGCGTTGAGCTCGGCAGCAGAGCACAGGCTGCCGATTGCTTGGCGCACCAAACTACCAAATAATTTATTTTTAAAAATTAGGCTTCAACGCCTAGTTGTGATGTGTGATCAGGGTCTCTGTGCATGTTAAGTGACACTCATGCTCTAGATTCCACTGGCAAGACCAGCGTGAGGTCTGCTGCTTACACCAACTAGTAAATCTTCGTCCGCGAGTATTTACTTCTGCATAATGTTGAGATGTTTAGACTGTCCGAGCTTGGCTCTGTTATTTCTGTCGTTTCACTGGAATGGCAGCTGCCATATCTTGACTCCACTTGGGAGACTAGTCGTGTTAGGGTATCTGTGCACCAACTACTGCAGACGACGGTCATCATGTCTTCAGTGTTGACAATCTACCGAGCCTCCTCCAATCTACGGCCCAAATGATGGTCGTAAATAGCAGGGTCACGGCTTTTGTTGTGCCAGAGAGTGAAAATCAGGTCGAAAAGAGCATGAAATCCTGGCAGTATTTTTGCGTCTCCCTTTGACAACCAATCATCCTCAGCACATGACTTTTCCATTCGGCACGGCGGGTGAGTGGGCTAATTATCCAATATATTTAGCCTTGTTTGGTAGGTGTTCATCAGACACCAAGCAATCCTCACTTGTCGCGCACAAACATGCGCACAGGAGTAGATGGTATCCCCTCCAAGACTACGCAAGCCCTTGTGCCTCTTGGCTGCCATCGTAGTCCAGGGGATGTGGTGGCTCGATCGCTACGACGACGGAAACGAATGGGTCCTGTTGAGTTTTCGAAGCTGCGAGGAAAATTAGGGCTAGTTTTTGTTTGTTTTGTGATTATCATAACCGGCTCACCCCAAGGCACCTGATAATGTCAAATAGGCCCGCCCAGCAAAGGGTGCTTGACTTGGGGAAAACACCCACTGCTATCACAACCAGCGCTATCAGCTTTAAATTTTAAATTTTCGTCATCTAAATTAGATATCTTCAATATATGCCCCGAAATATCCACTTTATAAAGGGCAAGACTCTCGGGGTCACTTGGAAAATCTTGAAATTAAAGAGCTTGTAAGAATAATTAAATGTTTACTAGCATCTCGGCAGCTTTTAGCTGTCCTTCGTAATCATAGATTCAGTAGGGACTTTAATTCAATACAATTCAATATCCACTCTATCCCCACATCCAAAATTTCACTGGGCTGTGGATGTAAATTTTGTAGTTTTCGGCATGGCATATTGGGTGGCGAGCCGAGAGCCGGTTGTTAGATAAATTGATGGACAAAGTATTTAATTATTTGAATGTAAGTTGGCGTTTACCGAACTCTTATCGCGTCGCGTGGATGTTTCTTTCGCTTAGCGATTTAGCTGCATTGGGGATAAATCGGTGCACGGACACGCCCATGTCGTTGATGGGAAAATCCCCAGCCTTATCACACGCGAGGCCAAGATACACAACGAGACCACAAGGTTTGTGTGTATGATGCTTCGAGCAGTATTGGCCCAAACAAGAGCGTGTATATATCAAAGCATACCAATAGTCGGAGGGCGACTTTACTGCTGGCTTAAAGTAATTTCTTGTTTTGTCGTTTGGCCCTTAAACTCTGTGGAGTGGGGGGGTTTGAGTAGACGAAGCATCGCAGCTCCCTTTGATCGACAATTCATGGCGAAGCTTCCCCGTAGACCCGTGGCAAGAAGCGCTACCCAGCTCTGAATTAATCCTTCACCGCAGTCTTCGTGGGTGACAGCGTTAACCAGTGTTCCGTTGCCCATCCGCTCCAGGGTTCGTGGCATCCTGACTATCGAGCGTCGCTCACCCTCCTCAATCACCATGTTCATTCCATCTCCCGTAGAACAGGCAAACCACCAGTCTTATACCAGGCGCGTGTTCACGTGAAGAGGGAGTCTGATGGGCATGAGGTAGGCCTTTCTTGGAAATTTGCTGCTGACAAATCTCACTCGTGATGAAGAGCTGGGTGACTAATCGACCCGGGAGAATGAGAGGGAAAATGTATATTAACCACAACTCGACATGTTTCCTTGACTCGAGTGTGGCCAGCTTTATTTGAGAGGATACTGGCGGCGCAGTACAAGAGGCAAGACTTGTTAACTTGCCACGGCCATGTTACCATCAAACAGCAATTGAAATGTATTCCAATGCGGCAACTTGTTCCTCTCTCTTCGTATCTCACCGACCTTTCCCTAAATCTCGCCCCAAACTCGATAGTGCGGCGAAAGGCAGCAGCAGGGATGTCAAGACCTAGATAACGTGATCCGATCCCCTCGCTTGCCGACCTACCACGTGTCATGATAGGAAAGCCTCCGATCTTCCAGAAACTTTTCGTCGCCGTGGTCGCCTACTGCCGTTGTGGGGCTGCCCGGATGAGCGTCGGCAGAGGCAGCGGAGCCGTCGCTTCAACATAACTCAAATTGCCTACGCACGCCCTCTCCACTAAGTCAAGCTGGCGACGATAGTACCTCTGGCATGCCGTCGCCTCCGCACTAGACCCCGCGACCTCAGTGGCCCTCTGCTCGCATCGCATCGTACTTTATCGCCCGGTGTCTGCAGAGTAGTTGGCCACCTCTTAGCCTGCGTCGCTGTTGTGAGAAAATGTTCCCGCGAATGGCGAAAATCTCGCCATAATCATTTTTTTTCTATCCCACATGGCCTCCGCTTCTACTGAATCGAATGAGCAGCGAAATCTCAACGCACAAATCACCTAGTGACCCCCTGCCCCTTCACCTACTGCCGCGCAAATTCGCCGGTTGATTCAAGCACCAGTCCCTGTGCCGCTGTAACCGTGCACACCTCTCCCTATTGCATCTATGCACCCTGTCCTTGAATTTTTGGCAGCACGGCCAACGGCTCTAGCCAAAGGATTGTGACGGTAGTTTATTCATCATGCCAAGTATCCCGAGTTTTAAGAATTTGTGCCATTGATTCTATGCTGAGCCTTACGCTGATGACTGTGTCAACCACATCATCCATCCCCTAATCGTTCTAAAATAACCACTCCAATTGACAAAGAGTACCGGGCCTTTATTGCCCTTCGCTGACACAACACCTTTGCCCCTGATTATAAAAGTACATGGACACCAATTAAGCACCGTACGCACCCTTTGTACCCCACAAACTATTCATTTCGTCATTTCCTGTCGCCCGCGCAACGAACCTTCCGTAATCTAAGAACCGGAGTTGCTTAATGCGGAATCTACCTATATCATCTAGCTGGTCTAGACTCCTCTTAACTGAGCTTAGAGCTCACGGACAATTTGCATCGAGTCATGCGTATTTTTGGCAGCAGCGATCATTGCGTACATCGCAAAAGCCGTGCAGGATACCTGAGCGGTATTTTGTTGACGCGACCGTAGATTTAATGCGACTTATCTAAAAGTTGACCAAACAATCAAAGCATGACGCTTTTACACTCGTCGGGCAAGGGATAGAAAATTTGTGCACATCTATACATAGATATGCAAGTAAGTTGTGTAAGCCCCTAAACTGCCAGCACCCTATTCGGTGCACGCATGTCTCTGTATGTATGCAGATTTCTTCGTCAATAGTCGATTGTTTGTATGCGTCCAAGTGAACTTGTCCGAGGGCCTGAGGCCGTGTATCCACCCCTCAAAAATCATATCTTCCTTGTAGTCATGCATATTCCAGGACGGTTCTATAGAAGATTTCCAGGTTAAAAGTTCATAAGTGGATATGATGAGCCAAATTATCAGAAATTAGATGCCTGGATTCGAAAAGCTTAAAAATTGCTCATAGGATACGGAAAAAGGAAAATTCTACCAAACCAATTAGCTCGCTCCTTCGTATTTTCCGCGACTAAAGGAAAGGGTTACACACATGTGGCTCAAACTGTGTGTAATCGTGTGGTTCGACTATGTTTACATTGGGAAGCTCCGACGCGTTAAAGTTCATAGGGCTTAATGTTCCACCTTCCCGCTTAATTGGCTGATTCAGTTGTTCTAAATTAGAAGGTAGTGTGAATGGTGCCGGATAATTATTTTCTCCAAAAACAAGTTGCTCGTTATTACCAGAGTAATAATGGTTCTGCTGCGGCATTGGATACGACTCATAATTATTCTCGTCTAATGGAAACGGATATGGGTAAAAGTAATAGTAATCCAGAGGAGGCGGCGGTGACTGAGACGGGGATCTTTTTAAAAGGTTAGGGGTAGGTATATTCCCCTCCAGGGATGGATGATTGGTCTGATTCGGGGTTATGGGTGATAATTGCTGCTGCTGCTGCTGTAATTCGGGCCTTGTCATGAATGGTAGTTGTTGATGCATCTCCGGGCTCCGGATAAATGACCTAACCGGCGTCTCCTGGTTGTTTGTTTGATCTTGTAGTTCTACATGTGTCTGCGGTGGAGATGCAGAGGAGGAACCAGCTCGACGCTCCAAATCTTCTAGCCGTCTCTTTAACTTTTTGCCTGTTATGATTAGTAAGAAATGATATAGGGGCTTGGTCGATAACATACGATAATTACGTTGGGCAATTCGATTCTGAATCCGTCGGCGTTCAGCGAGATCAGGAATCTTGGTCCAATCTTCATCTGGATTTGCCGAGCTGCTGAATGCACTACTAGAGGCGTTCACCATCCTAGGAGGTGATGAGTGTGGATAAGAAGAGCGTGACATGATAGTTCTTATCGGCTGACTTGATAAGGCGGCTGCAAGATCTTCGAGGAGGTTGATGTGAAAGTGCGGCTTAAAGAGACTTGGTGATTATAGTATTAGTGGAACTGCAGATGTAGTAGGTACTACTAGCTGCTTTATGGAAGAGCTTGGTGCGTGATTAGTGGAAAGTGGAGAGCCGTTGTGAATGGAGACGTAGAAGATGAACTCAAAGTCAATGGAATGATTTGAGAAGACGAGTGAACACGGTGAATATAAGTAGTGTAATCATATAAATATAAATCTAGGCTACTCAAGATATCGCTGCGGTTGCGAATGGCGATTTTGCCATGCGTTAGAACTTGCGTAAACTGACCATAATCCTTGCCGCTAGCTCTACTGTATTCGGAAATAACCCTAGCGTCACTCCGACTGGGGTATCTGGTCTGAGTGACGCTAGCTACCCCGGGCCCAGCGCCTCCAACCGTTCATGAATTGTAGACGGTAGCCACTTAGTAGAGAAGTTCCATCTCCAGATACCACCAAGCTCCGATACAGCCTGAGCTTTCGCCCGGTGCGGGCCCTCCGAGGGTGATGTCAAATGACGCCAGAACTGAACACGGAGAAAAAAATACCCCTCAGCAGCTGCGGAAACGCACTAGGTAAAGGTGACGGCGAGGACTAAAAGTGATAGCTATGGTAGGAGAGGTAGAAGAAGATTGTCTTGACCTATCAGCCGATGCTGTTTGTTCAATGTAGAGAGTGGGGACGTGAGAGAAAGAAGGAGCCATTCTGAGTAGGGCAATGAGTGGAAGAGTGTGAGTAAGAATTAGGCTCGTGCTCATAGAATGCCAGTGCCAATCCCAATGGCACCAAGGTCAAGTCCAAGTCACGGGGCTAGATCGGAGACGCCGCCAGGGTAGTCTGTACGGTGATGCATTTTGGACGGAGGTATGCCTTGTCCGGAGACGAGCCACGCGTGATCTCACAGCCACCGCTTGAGGACCGGGGCTGGGCTCGGCTAGTTAGTGCTGGGGCTCTCTACTCTTCCATACGGACCCTGAACTTTCTCCATTCCCCGTCTAGGAACAACCTGTTGCGTCACATGGACTACCATGCTCGCCTGCCTTCTCTACCTAAGAGAAGACTGCGGGCACGGCTCGTAAAGTAGTGAAAGGGTAGTAGCGCACTAATTAGCGGCGTGTATGAATGACCCCAATTCGATGCCGGCCATACACCACATCTGAGACAGCTACCGGCCGGTGCGCCATGATGATGAGTCAAAGGCTACTTCAGGACAAATGCTGTCTCGAAGGAATGATATGTTATCGAGAAGCTGCTTCCAGAGCTTGGACCTCCGGCAAAGCTTTATAGAGCGCTGTCAGCCCTACCCGAACCGAAATGACCAATCAGACTATCGCTGCACATGAGACCCACTAAATGCCATCATCTATTTTCAATTATCATTAGACACGTCGCGTCAGCCCTACCCGACCCCCATGATCTATTTATACATCTCCCGACGAAGAGCCGTTCATCGAGAAAGACACGCACATAAATTGGGCCCTTTGCCACTACCTCATTCGAATGCAGAAGGTAGGAACGATTTCCTTCGATGCTATTACAGGTTTTTCTCAAACTCGGCTCGAGGTAACACGACTTTCCTCTTCAAGATTTTGGTGTCAAATGTCATCTAAAAATAACCGTATAATTTAAGGTCTATTCTTCTCTGAAAATACTGGTATTGAATTCGGATTGACGTAACTCTAAGTCTGCCGAACCGAGATTCAGCCTTCGCGTTCTCCTGCAGGCCATTTGTCATACCGGTCAACCATATAGAGTGGAGCCCGAACCCTAGCCCGTGTGGCTGCAGCTAAGGTCTCGCTGGTATATGTAGTGCACGTTGCTCGCTATACAAAGTCGAACATGCAAGTCCATTTCACATCTGCATACCATCAAATGCGAGGCTTTTTTTTTGACAGGCTTCACTTGACGCAGAATAACAATCAGTTGATTTCTTTTGGAGAAGTAAATACCTGGAGCTACCGTGTAGCCTTTGATAGACCTTCGCGCCTAGAATAGGCAGCTCAGTTAGATCATCCATCATTACCACTTCTCTCTTCCGGTATTTTGATACCATAGAAATATCTAGAATCTTACAGCAGAATTTACAGTCGATAATATCATCCCCAAATCTCTCGGCCAAGGTCAGTAGTGTACGATAAGGAGGATCGAACGGCGCATGGACTTCGACCATCAAAATCTATTTAATCTGGTGACCTGCTCAACAGTCATTAGTTTAATAGTCAGGTCGAGAGACAGACGAGATTTATGGTCCCAATGATAGCAGATACTGCAAGAAAACTCTGCTAACCCGACGATCATTTTATTCCGATAATGTGATTCGTATCCACTGCCTAGTCGGTGCATCGGACGATGGGCCAATAGCAAGCTGGTCGTGCGCAATTTCTCGACTATGTGTGGACAATCTATAAAAAGTAGCATCGCCGCGCTTACGAATGACCCAATTGAACTGCTACCAGGGGCTCAAACTGACTGACCTAGCGATCAAGGGCTGTAAGGCGTGGGGAAGACTAGGATCTAGGATGTTTGTAATCCCTGGCTCCCGATGAGGTACTCGCGAGCAGAGCGGTTTCTTGTCATGTCAAATCCTATGCCTAGCCGAGTCTGGCCGTTCCCGCCTTCTGAAGGCGGCGAGGATTGGACGGGCCTAGACACCCAACGTCTGAAATAGAAGCGCGTGCGTATCAGACTCCCAAAAGGCTAAACTCAAGGGCCCCGATACGCCATGACAGTTAGTGCGGAGAAATCATGTGGAAATTCCAATTCCCGAAACTCCACACTGCAATATATTTGTTTATCAGCTGTATCAAACCAGTAAGAATAATTCTGCCCACCTCATACTCCGACTCGCACTAGGGCTTAGCCCTAATTCAACTGCCAAACAAAGATGACGTGTACATATCATAAAAAGACAACGGATGATTTAGCTGGCTAAACATTTAGATCTTTTGGCAATCTTTCACAGTCCAGGACCAAGCGGAGACTTAGATTAAACCAAGCAATAAATCGACCCCCGAATTGCTCGAATAAAATAGAATTAAAGTCAAGTCCCTACTGAGCCTGTAACTATGAAGGACTCCTATGGCTCTAACCAGCTTTAAGCTCTTTTAGTAATCTGAGAATTGATTTGTCTAATTATTTATCATTGTATACTGGGGGTCATGCCCTCCGAGTCGTTCGAGTCTAGCGAAGAGTATTTACAATTTTGAACGAGTGAACAGTCTTCCGCGTCGATTCGCTCTAAAGAAGAAGGAACTATTGCGCATGTCTTATTCATTCACGTCCATCTGAAATCTGCCGGCACTTCTGCAGAGTATACGATTATCTGTCAGGAACGTGTGTATTGCTCTACCCTCTCTAATTGCTCGAGATCAGGTGCATGCTCGCTTGCACTCAGACTCCAGGCAGCCCTGGCTAGTTTTCCGATACAGAAACATTAGAAAATCGGCTCGCTATCCGGGTCTGGAAGTTTTCCAATCGTGGATTCACCTTGCCATCTAAGGCTATGGTACATACTAGGTCACATGATTGGTTAGGCGCCTTGTGACCTCCTGTTTAAATTCAAGGTCATAGGATCATGACCCTACGCCTTTCAAGTACGGGAGCGGTCGGGCCGGCGGAGATCGCTAGATCTAGACCTGAATATCACTTTTCGGCATTCCACTCTTTGTTAAAATTCCGTACAAACGTACTGTGTGATAGTTAAACATGTTTATAATCAGGATTCTTGTACTAGAGGTTCATGGTGTCTATTGCGGAACTAGGATTAGTTATCTTGGACAGGAATGGGACATGTTTACAGATATCGCGCTCTCGACTCCTCTATGATGTGATAATTTTTCCAACTATTCATAACGTGCATATCTATTTTGAGCCAATCATCCTCATCCATATTGGCCTGAAATCTTGATTTATGCCTAATGACCCTTTTATATTTAGACGAGCAATGTGATTCTTCGTCTTTTTGGCAATCAATAGGCGCAAAGTCAACGTCAGAACAGTTTGTATTGCCATTCCATATTCTTACAATTATCAAAATGTAGCAGTCGAGCAGGATTAGAGAGGAGAAATTTAGAGGGGGGTAGCTGTAGTGGATTTTACGCCCAAATTAAATTCGGAATTCGTTAACTACTGACACCTGAATTATTATTTCTCGATGGAGGCTAAAAGATATAATGCAAAAGCATCTCCTCCTATCTCAAATCCCTCCTTAGGTTCAAGGCAGGATCTCCATTCGTCTTTCCCGAATATTTTACTTCATCGCAGATCCGTATTATATCACCTGAAATGCTACTTATCCGGATGTTCAGATTGTTCTACTCGGGATATTGATTTTACTTAGTTGTTTTTCCTTTGAAAATCCCGGCGTCTATTTTTAGTTTCAGTCTCCGTGCTTGATACTAAATCTTCACGGGAGAAAACAGAGACACGGTGTTTTAGACTTCCCTTTCCTCCATTTCATCTAGATTTCCAACATGATCTCTTCACTCGTAATGAGGCTAACAGATGATATAACTTTGTGTTTCAAGTCTCTTAAGGATATACCTGCGACCTAGTGGCGTGAGCACATGGAGTTTATTTCGAGATAACATGTCTAGATGTCGCCACAAACAAGTATTTTGTCCGACGTTTTACGGCTCAAAATCTAATCACCGGATCAGAATAGCAAAAGAAGTAAGTCCTGGTGAGGATTATGGCGAACAGTTGCTCATAGGGGTGCTGGTGATGACGTATAACTGTTTCACTTTCTTCGCTTTAAATTCTCGTAACTGTGATCGATTGGGTTAAACGTCTCGCTGTCTCCGCAACCCCGGGCCATGACAATCAAAACCGTGAAGGGTGAAGACTAGACGCCTATCAACGGTGTCTCCTTCAAAGCTGGGAGTGAAATACACACCTACATCCCATTTCAATCAAATTTCAAAATACCGAGGGAGTTG